AATGAAACCGGACGGTAATAAGTTAAAGCCTACGTAACTGCAGATGCGATTCGAGGTTAGTGAAAGGCCATGCAAGAATATCTGCCTACCCTACACATTCTGCTCTTATGCCAGATATTAAAGCGATCGTGGGTCGGTGACAAAAAAGCCTTTTCCGTGGCATACGTTACGTAAGTTGTTGTTACTGGCTAGACTCACGCGCGTTCCGTGCCGTGTGCAGCTCACAGCCCTAGAAAAAAGCTCAAACCTTCGCTTAGACAAAAATTGCTTCGATGCGGGCGAATGACAAATAGCTTTGCATAATCTTCCAAAAAATACAGCCTCAAATTAGACGAGGTCTTGAAGCCTAAAAATAACTAAAGAATTACGTTACGTAAAATTTTTGATATGCGCATCTTAGAACGCGAGAACGGATTTAAAAAAAACTGGAAAAGCTTACTCTACAAATGACCATTACTGACTTGTTCTGCTGATCTGTAAAACTCAGAACGCAACAACACTATCAGCACTTTAAAAATAGCTGTAGAACAAACCCTGTTCGCAAATAAAGCATCAGCCTCAAATTTAGATGACCCACTAGAAATAAACAGCATCATATAATCAGAATGGCGACAGAAACATGACAACAATGATGAGGATAAAAAATTGCAACAAGAAATGCAAGAAAACTCAAAGCAAACTATGATTGTGATTATCACGAAAAGGAAAATAAAAAACGACAGTGATAAAATGATGATGGACCATACATAAAACTAGGGCAACAACGAGCATTCTTGAATCAAAGATCGCGAGAAGGATGATAATAATTATAATGCAAATTATAATGTAAATTAAGAAAATGATCATGAAAATGAAGATGATAAAGATGTGATAACAACGCCGCTAAGGAAAAAAACCGTGAGATGATGCAGGTGATAAAGATGCAGGCGAATCATGATACGTGAAACTGTGATAAAAATGCAGCAATACACTGAATGCTGATTAAAATGGAAACTAACATGAGGATTAGGATGATAATGATGATTATAATAACGATATTAAGGTGACTAATGAAAATAACTGATAAGATGCAGTTAATGAGAAGTGCGGTGACATTTACGCCATATCTGTCATCATTACGCTCGAAATCGCAATAATAATGATGAACCTGACCACAGAAGCTGAAGATTCATCATAACATAACAGTGAAGGGGAAAGAAATTATAAAAGGTGACGATAGAAACGTCAACGATCATAGTCTGACGACCATAATAACCAAGGTTCTATGATAATGAAGTTACAAATGAGAGATGAAAATAAAGATGATGAAGTTATGAATATGCACTAATAGTTATCGATGATAAAGACAATGAAGGTGGCAACGATAATAAACGCCACGAGGAATTTGAGCGCCTGCAGTGCATAAGACGTATATTCCGAGTCACTGGTTTTCGCAAAAAAATTCGAGCACACGAACAAACTTGCAACTATAAACAGAAAATATCCTGAATGGAATCATAAAGGTCTGGGGCAGATATCAATAATGGCAACAACAGTTTTGCTACTTCCTATTCTTACTTCTTCTTTTTTTGTTTATTACCATTATTATTATCACTATGGCTGGCATCATCACAGTTTTGTCGTCATCTGCTTCGTTTTCTCTTTCCATTTCACTTTCACCCTCTTCTTCCTCATTTTCTAACGTCACTTCTTCTTCTCCTTCGTAATATATCTAATACGACGGTATTTTAAATACCTGTTATTCATAAAGAACGACGATTACTTAGTTTAACATTAATGAATCGGAATGTTAACTTGTCTCAAAAATGATTGCGCTATAAAACTAGTGCTAAGGCTTTCAATGTTTACGAAATAACCAATAATCCTGAATGTTTTTACCTAGTGAGTAAAAGTCTGGAACTAACAAGAGAATTTTATTAGAGTCAATGGAAGGCGAAGACAAGAATCGACCGAAGAGTAACATCATTCCCTGACTGCCGAGTAATCGAATTTAGATCACTTTCGTTATCGACTACCTCTCCAGTGAAAGAGCCGCCTGTAAAGCTTAAAACACTACCATTAAGTAAAACTACGTTTTTGATATACAGGAGAGGAGACTTGATGAACGAACAATGCTGAGGCAAAACTTGAACACTTAAAAGATCAATCAAAATCCCACCGCTGTTAATTTTGAATTTAACTGCGTGTACCGCGGTCATAACTGTCCTGAGTAAATGCGAATAAGAGGCTACTTGAATGACCATTACTTATCAGATGCTGATAACAACCAAACTGCGTAAACAATGACTAAACTGTTACATCCAACAAGCAAACAATACTACCGCTCATACTTTACAACAGAACGCTATTAAACTGCTTGACCAGAATGTTAACTAAAAAACACAAAATAAAGGTTACATTAATAAATGCAATCAGATCTTTGTTGCTGAGCCGATTCTGCGAATCAAATTCGTGACTGCGCCTCAACTTTCACTAATAACCACGGAAAATATGTATTCGTTGCACCACCGGTGTTAGTATATGCAAGGACTACTTTATCAGCAGACCTAATTTAGATTTGACTTTGCCCATAAGAGACGCACTGGACTGACTGTTCGAACAATACCGGAACTGTCAGATCAGACTTCAGCCTTGATGTTGCTACGGTCTATATGGTGAAACGCATAAACTGGCATAAACAGTTTTGTCATCGGTTGCATTTGATACTCTGAGCCATCAATTGTTCAACCACCTATCATTATATATAATGCAATCTATACTTTGTGCATAGAGTACATTATATCTTATACTGTATATAATTCACACATACAATACAAAGAATGTACACTGTACAGTGTAATATCAATGTACTATATGCACCAAGCTGACGTAGTGCATTACACAGTATACCATATATACGTTGTGCATACAGTATA